ACAGTGGCTTTTGGAGAGAACTGCACTCGTAGACAAAAACCTAAATGCTGAACCCACGCTGCTTCCAGGTCTCCCGAGCCTCTTTTAAAGCAGGTCACCGGTAAGCAAGGGACTATTTCTTGGCCAGAGAAGCAGAGCGCGCTCGATGCCAACAGACCAGCACCCACCATCTTGAACCCACCAAGAGCATATCTGATTTGAATCTAACACTACCAGGCAGCTGTGAATGTCTGACAGGAGCCTCGAATTACTGCCTGCCTGGGAGAGCACGAGCCCACACTTCACAGGGGAACAGCTCACCTCACGGGGAAGCTTGATCCCTGCCTACCTTCTGGCCCCGCTTGATGGGCTGTGGGGCCGGCACACCCTTATTGGTGTTGGGCGCAGGGGGACGCTGCGTCTCCATCTCTTTCTGCTTCTCCTCGGGTGGCTCCAAGTTCTCAGAGTCATTTTGCTGCTTCTTTTTCTTCATTTCTCTAAGGAAAGCAAACGATCACTCAGAACAGCCCCTCTTGTCGTGGGCTATGACTCTTCCGCCAGCATTAACACCCCGCTTCCCAGCCACAGAGTTACAGAGGAACCTGAGGCAAGTACCCTGGGAATTGCTCCTCTTTGGCATAACCTCTCCAGCCCAGAGGCTGGATAAGGTTGGGCCCACAAGCGCACAGGAAGCTGCCTGTCCACGCTCCTGCGCGCCCAAAGGACGAGAGCGGCTCCGTTCCCAGTGGGAGGATCACAGAATGGTTTACGTTGGAAGGCACCTCTGGAGATCATCTCGTCCAACCTCCCTGCTCAACCAGGGGCCTCTAGAGCACACTGCCCAGGATCGCATCCAGGCGGGTTTTGAATATCTCCAGCGAAGGAGACTCCACAACCTCTCTGGGCAACCTGTTCCTGTGCTCAGTCACCCTCACAGTAAAGAAGTTTTTCCTCAGATGGATCAGCAGGATGCCCTACTGAGCCCTCGTTCCTCCTCTCACAGCTCCTGCTCGCCCACCACGTAGCGACGGTCCTGGTGGCCCAGACCAGAGCCCTCTCCCTGAGCCTGGAAAGAGCACTGCACAGCCAGGCTGCCTCCTCTTCAGAGAGCATAGCTACGCTAAGCTAAATCGCCTCCCTGCTATTCAGGCTCTCGGCTTTAACCACCGCAGCTGAACGCACCACGAAGGACAACGGGGCCCCTGTCTGAGTGCTCTCCGCTGCCCAGCTGCCTCCCAAGCCCCCCAGCCCCGTGGCTGCTGGGTCACGGGTCCCGGGCGAGGGCGCCGCCCCCG